GCCCCAGCCGGTGGCTGAGAGCCCGATGGAGAACCTGGAGGGAGCGGCAGAAAAGGCATCAGGAAGAGCTCCCACCCTCCAAGACCCGCTCTGAGCCACGGTGCAGTACTTACTCCTCGATACCGATCTTCCAGTACAATTCCTGGAGCACAGGAGCCCATACAACCTCCCCAGAGTACAGCTGGGGGTCAACCCCTCCGAGGATGACTTCCCCACCGTAACTATAGGTCGGGTTGCTGGAAAGACACAAAATTAACCCCTACATCAGGGAGGCTGCTCAGTAGAAGGTGGTGTAGCATAGAGGGACGTGGGGAGAATGCATGGATGGAGAGGGAATGAAGAAAAGGATGGATCCCGGCTGTGTCTACGCAAGACTAACCCCTACATCAGGGAGGCTGCTCAGTAGAAGGCAGTGTAGCATAGAGGGATGTGGGGAGAACGCATGGATGGAGCGGGAATGAAGAAAAGGATGGATCCTGGCTGTGTCTACGCAAGATCCGCTCTCAGAGGTCTCACCGTGAGTAGTAGAAGCTGAAGATGGGCTCGGCGAGCTGGCCCTGCTGCAGCATGTTCTGCATCAGCGTGATCAGGGAGGCTGCTCAGTAGAAGGCAGTGTAGCATAGAGGGATGTGGGGAGAACGCATGGATGGAGCGGGAATGAAGAAAAGGATGGATCCTGGCTGTGTCTACGCAAGATCCGCTCTCAGAGGTCTCACCGTGAGTAGTAGAAGCTGAAGATGGGCTCGGCGAGCTGGCCCTGCTGCAGCATGTTCTGCATCAGCGTGTTGTAACCGTCGATGCCAACACCCGGGTAAGCCATGCCCAAAATCCCATCGAAGTCCAGGTAGTAAAAGGGTCTGCTGGGCTCATCCAGGCTCAGGCCAAACTCCTGGTTCCTGATGACGATGTTCTGGATCTAGAGGGAAAGATGCTGGGAGGTATCAGCGTGTTGGACATCCGCCTTGAGAGAAACATCCCACCATGGAGCATCTGGGAAGGGGCAGGGCTGGCCAGGAAGGTCACAAAGGTAAATCTGTACCAAGAGGTGCTGAGCTCCTCCCCATTGCAGATGGGAGATGGAGTCAGGGACAGCCTGGCTCATGGTCTTTGTCCCATCACCCTTATTATTTTATAAAAATACCCACAAAAACATTGTGCCTCAGTCAAATCAGTTTAAAATCACACTTTCACTGCGTGCAAGTCTCCACAGGACACTTCTTATGTCCTGTAACGGCAAAGGTGAGCCACCAGTGTAAAAACCAAACGCTTATGGCCAAAGATGTCCCTTAGCCCAAAGCAGCGAAGAAAAGCCCAGAGGACTCGGGCTGAGCTTGTTTGGAGATCCCAGTCTCCGAGTACTTTCGCGCTGACACACCATAAACTCTACATGGGAGACTCAGGCACCAATATCCAAAAGAAGAAGGTACTTTCACCTATCCCCTAAATTTTTTACTGAATTGGGCTGATCACAACTGCAGTCACTTCTTACCCTGATGGCAGCAACGCTCCCACACACCAGGAGTCACTTACCGTCACGGTGTCATACCCCAAAGCCACCGAGAGGTCACCGAACCCGTAGCTCAGGGTGTAGGTCACACCAATGCCCGAGAAGGTGGACGACAGGCTGGCGTTGAAGCTGGCATGGTTTGCTGCACGGAGAGAAGGTCACAGCCTTCG